ACGTCGTGGGCCAGAGCGATGAGGCCCTGACGGGCCTCATCTTTCGGGCATGTTTTGAGCCCGTTTGGCGGCGTCTCCCATGCATTTCCTATGGCAAATGTCAAGTCAGCATTTTTTCGGTTTTTTGGCGTTTATTCGAAAACGCCTTGTCCTTTGAGAAAGTTTTTAACAAGCACGCATCCCGTGGTCGGGCCGGACGCGCGGGCCGGTTTTGGGCCCGATCCGCGGAACCGTGCGGGACGAGTTACGCGCCGAAAATCGTGACGGAAGCGGGAGAAGAATAAGTGACGGAATAAATATGAGGAAGAGTAATAGGTGGGCCTTGCCTTCGGCAAGGCCCACTGCCGTGGGCCTTGCCTACGGCTGTGGCCCCCCTAATAAGGAGCGGAATAAGTATTTCGAAGAGTAATACGTGGGCCATGCCGCAGGCGTGGCCCCCCTAATTAATTTACTCCTCAGTCCGCGTATGTCCGGACCACATTTGGTTTGAGAGGATTACATTATTGCACTGGGGTTTAATGGGTTTTCTTGTCAAAACCAAATCAGAATAATGAAGCTTTAATGAGCCTAATGACTTCAGTGAGTAAGCATCCATAGTCTGATTAGATCCCGTTCACTCCACGGGCCTTCGGAGAAGTCGATGAAAGGGATTTCTCAGATGACCTGGAACTAAATCTGCCAGCAGGTTGTTTGTATAACCCCAGGTTGTGATGGCATGCACAGGGTATAGAAGGGTTACGAGACCCCTCGAGTGCGAGAGCAACCATATTAGGCAACGTTATAGAGAACAAAGAGCATCTAATTTTTTCTCCAAGCATCTTTGTTCTCTTAAAATAACAGTAGGTTTGATTTATCAGCATGAGTTTTGTCCAACTTCAGGATCAAACGGCTCCTGCGAAGTGTTGTCTGTTTCCAGTCGACTGGAACAAGCTTAAATGGTCTAATTTAATTTTTTTTTATTTTTTTTCATTTCTGACGAAGTCCATATGCATTTAGGATGTTATGTAATTACTAGTGCATGCAAATAGAACCTGTATAAGGTGTCAAATGTTTGTTAAAAAAAAATGGGGCATTCTATCACCTGCCAAAAAAGACTATAGAAGAATGGTAGTGTCAGAGGAGCTTATACGTAATAATTTGTGGGATTTTAGCCACAGCAATAAATCTATGGGCAGAACACCAATAATTATCATTGTAGGTGTTTCATAATTCTCATAGTCTAAGCTTATTGGCACTGACTATATACATTTTATTTTTTAAAGACTCATTTATTTTTAGAATTTTGTGAATTGCACATAAATCAAAGTAATCCATAATCTTTCAGAATTTTGTGTAAATAGCTTTTCAAAGATGCAGAAAGCAGGTTTCAATGTTTTACATTTAGATTGGAATTTCCTGATCAGTTCCCAAAGAACAAATCAGAAACTGCTAACAGATTAAAAAAGCAAACCAACAAAGGAGCAAGCAGCTGTCAAAAGGTGAAAAAAGGAACATGATTATTAAAAAAGGGCATGAAACACAATCACCAAAAGGAGAGAAAGTGTCTGGTATGTAAACCATAGAGTGAGGAATTAAGCAAACGTCTGACAGTAAGTGTCCTGAGGGGGATCAGAAAATACTTGAGGCAGCTACCGAACAAGTGGAGAGTGGCAGAAGAAGCTGACAAAGGGAGGTTAATGGCAGATAGCCGTGAGCATAGAGAGGGCAGACTGAGTTCATGTGCAGCTGCAGATGTGTTCCCTCCTGACACGTTCAGAATAGTTCAAACCTCGTGTGTTGTCCTATCACGGCTACTTCAATTGTTTGAAACCTGCACCGTTCCACTTCAGTTCAGTTCTTGGCTGTTGAGTGTTTTACTGCGCACATAGCACAGCCCCGCTAAAGTGAGTTTTATCAAAACAGACTCAACTTTTAAGAAATGTGTAAAGCATTTTGCTTTGAATTCTGCCTCAGGGTTTGGCAGAAGCACATTCAAAATATCAGATCAGAGTATCGCATATATTTCACAGATACAAATGTACTTTTCTTTGAAGTTATGCTCTAATTCTGGATGCATGTATGTTCATATGTATCTTTTATTTATGTCCCTCTGGCTCTCAGGTTGCTGAGACCCGCTGCAAGAAGGTGTGCACCTCTAAATCGGACCTGAGGACCAACGACTTCAGCATTGTGGGTTCTCTCCCAAGGGACTTTGAGCTGTCAAATTTCGACTGCTACGGGAAGCCCATTGATACTGCCCCTGGTCTTGGCAAATCCCAGTCAAAGAACAACAAAAAACCTCCTCCTCCAAAACCAGTCATCCCCTCTGCTGCCAAAAGAGTTGACCTGTACTCCAGGGCCCTTTTCCCTTTCTCCTTCCTCTTCTTTAATGTGATTTACTGGTCCATATACTTGTGATTATCTTGTACTGTCACGCCTTCACTCCACCTTCATGATCACGTCAGATTTCCTACTAAGTCGTCAGTTTTAAAGTGAGAAATGAGAACTTTGCTGAAACCAGCAAAAGCACTATGCATTATCATTCATTAATGTGCACATAAAAAAAATACAATTTGTATCTCAAACACTGACTAAAATATACTGTTTCTTATTTTTACAAAAAATGAATAAATAGCATATTTATATGTGTATTGATAGTGGATCTAGAGAGGAAAATACAGGACTGTTGGAATAAAGCTGTTAGGCTGGATGGTGTGTAAACAAATCCACGGAGATCGATCGTGTGAGAACAGAGCTGAAGAAACGCAGATATATTGAAGAGCATTTGTAAATAGCTATTAAAATGTTTGCCAATGCCCAGTGGGGGTGTGCTTGCCAGTGCAATAAGTTAAAAGTATTTTATTTGAGCTTTAATGCAATGCAAAGTCTAGTACTGTAATAAACTTGCATGTTGAAAATATTGCATGAATAGAAAGTTATATTAATCTAAATGCATATGATATTTATTGAATTTCATTATGGTTATGATTTGCTCTCAAAAAGAAGAAGAAAAGAAGGTGGATATGTGAAACACTTGTTCCTGTTCAGATGGTGACATAACACTGCCACTCTTAAAATTTTTACACTTGATATTTCCCACCTGTAGCCTGTGAAAATGGGTCACTACTGAGCCGTGACCGTGTGTTTGTGAAATTTACAATGAAATATCAAATGACTTTTCACCATTTGATGTGATTAAAAATGAACACAAAGACTCAACGCTTCCTGTTGTGTTTTTATCAGGGGGGAAAGAGCCATGTGGGGGAAGTTTTTCCCTTTTTCTGTTTATCCTCACCTGTCTTCTGGCCACGTTTGTCTCCATATTCACCAAATTATTCTCGCAAACCTGCTGAGAAAATGTTCCCTGACAGTGATTGTGAGACTTCACATATGAAATCCATTTTTCCCTCAATGAAGCCAGAAAGCGGCTGACCTCATGTCATGATTTTAAAAACGACCTTAATGAAGTTTGAAGACATTTAGCCTCCTGCTGCTGGTATAAAGGTGGACATAATTGTCAATACTGTGAGCTTTCTTTTTTCTCATTGGTTGCTTTAAAATGAGAAAACAAGACCTGTTTTTTTTTTTTTTCTCCCTCTGGCTGCCATGGTTACAGACACTGCTGAGAATTTCTTTGTCTGACACTAATAATCACTCTGTGACACAGAAACGGAGTCAAACGAGAGCCAGACTTCACTGGGAGGAAAGCTTATATGATCGCAGCTGAAACATGAGTCATCGACGGAAATGTGAGTGTCACAGATCGTTGAAAACAAATTAAGTGCCGGTTAGTTTTGACCGATCTGAGCACTCGTTTCATCTCTGACTCAGTCTCAATTTATGGAGATTTTACATTGCAGTGCCCCCCGATGGCCGCATTTATATCATGACAAAGTCTACTCTCTGGAGAGGAGCAAGTGATGTCAGGTAGTCTATAAATGAGTCTGTTGTTATGACACTGAGGAGGTGGATGGATTCTACATGCTAAAACACAGGTGTACTCTTATTATGTGCTTTAGTTTGCATAAATGTTTATGCCATCATAACTATACAGACACTAATAATTCTTATGCTCGCAGTGATGATGAAAGCATTTTAATACAAGTAACGTATCGATGGTACCCAGACAGTAGATGTAAGGAAGGCATCCTTTCCCACAGGTGTGACTGCAGTGTGTGCTTGTGTAATTGTGTGTGCGTTTCTCCACCCCCGCATCCCAGCCCCCTGCCAGTAGCACAGTGCAGTAACCTATATCAAACAGGGTGCTTTCTAATCCAACACGACCTCTCACCAGGCTTCCGCACAGTCCACCAAACCAACCACCATGACAGTCGAGGCAATGATTAGTGGAGGCGCAGTGGGGGGAGGAAAGGCCACCGGGCTTATCGGAAACTCGTTTATTGTGAGCGGGGGTCTTCACAGATCAGCGTTGTGCTTTTACAGAGGAGGACAGCTTGTGTGGGCAAATGACAGCGAGGGTTTCTTGCCTTTTTGTTGGTGACAAGCTATTCAGTAACATGGCCCCCTCATTTTGTCAATTTTTGTTTTTTATATCAAGGTTGTTGTGGAACGCTTTAGTAATGGAGAGAATATTAAAGACAAAGCACAACAATATATAACAATGGAGAAAAAGTATGCTGATTATGCTAATTGTGGCCAAGTGCAGAAAGAAAACTAATTGTAATGACATGCTTGTTCACTGTGACAATGTTTCTCTTTTTTTTAAAGAGCCGATGTGCTGTTATGCAACAGAAGAAATCCACTTAAACAAAAGAAATGTAAAAAACATAATTTTTTATGCTGTTGAGCATCATTCTTGGTGTTAAACTGATTTTAACAAATGATCAAAAAATCAAATAACTGCTACAATAAGAGCGGCTCATGCATGCTACTGTACATTATTTGAGTCATGTGTGCTCAGAGACATATAATTTAAAAAAGATTAATGCGTGTGCGCGTTTTTCTAAAATTCAAAGTGGCTTTCAGGTCAACTGTCATTTTCTGTGACTCCCTGAAATGCACCATAGTATTTCAGAGGATATTTTTTCGGCAGGGTAAGAAAAAGTGTGGAAGATGCCGTTTTCAGGAAGAGGTGTAGGGCGGCAAAATGTTTAGTTCCAGTTAAACCTAAATAATTTGGAAATGGACCGTGACCATGAGTCCAGCTATCAAAGCTGGATGTGTCTAAGCCAACACAAGTGTGAGAGTGAAATACCTTTGGGTCCAAAAAGCAATGCATTTTTAAATATTTCTAAATGAAGTCATTATTATTAAACATGATGGTTTCATGATGAATGTGTTAGCATATTAGCTTTAAAATGGATATTCTAAATGGATACAAAGGGTCACAACAAGTTTTCATCCTCTCATCATCATAGACATATTTTTAACATAAATATTTATGATAAAATAGGGAAAAACCTCAAGATGTTGCAATGGCTCAGATATGCTGTGTTGGGCAGAATAAGAGAGCTGTGATAAAGAAATGTTTCAAAATCTTAATTAAGCAACATAGAGTAAAGAGGAGTGGAGCAAAGCTTCTCATAAGTGATAGCATAAAGACAGCAATAATTTGCATAATTGCTTTCAAAGCTGATTTTATGGTGTTCATTTCTGCATTACGGCTTACTTTAAGTTAAACTGATAGTGAGAAATAGTGTGAATGCTCGTTGGTGCTGAAGCCTCTAAGGCCGGGGAGCCTGGATCAATCGTTTCTGTGCTACAGAAGAGAGACAGAAGGTGTTTTACTACACACCCTGTAAATGTTTTACATTTGCAAGTATGTAGGTTCATCTCATTGGTTTGGAGCTTCCCATGTGATCAAAATCTGAAACTCATTCTCAAAGGTCAGATAAGGCGTCAGTGTGCCCATATAAAGATTTAACACTGCAATATTTGTGCAAAATAATGCAGCAAACCCATCCTTTCCCTTCAGATTGACTTCTCCAAAGACTTTTAATGGCAAGACATGCTTGTTTTTGTGATTTCTGTGGTTCTTATCTTTTCACCACATCTCTTTGCGGTGTGTGTTTTTAAGAAGTCGCTGTCATGTCAGAGTCTGTTATAAGCCATAAATAATGTGTTGTTTCTCTGCTTTCTGATCAACTGAAACAACCCAGAAAATCATCAAAGTCTCCGTGGAACAGGGATGGGGATGCAGTTGTTCTTTTAGAATTTGGCTCTGTTTGCCTGCTTTGCTGGATGAATCGCTTCTGAACATAGCTGATACACAATAGCTACGCTGAATCTTTCTTTTCCGGGCATTCTTATGCTAAGCCGCTCGTGTATGGTGCACTCTGCTCGAGCATTTGTAGATATTGCCTAGTCATTATGAACTTCTGGGGATGTTTTCTTCACAAGTGATTTGGTTTATAATTAGAACATATTTCAAACTGTATGTAAACAGTTTTTTTCCTTTTCTTTTTTTTTTTTTTAAGAAAAAACACATTCAAAAAGAAAAGCCTGCAGCTAAACAGCCTGAGTATTTTTTTTTCCATTTTTTAAATATAACCTAATGGATAGTATATTTTTTATCAGTGTAATTTAGGAACTGGGAGCTAAGTCATCAAACAGCAGTCTATCATTCGACTTATGAAATTCAATTACTTTGTATTTGTGTCACGTTAAAGTGGACACTATTGAGACAAAGTGCTATTAATTTCAAATCTATTTACAGTACTCAAAGCAAGAAACATGAAATGCTCTTACGGAAACAGCCATCTAAGATTTATCATAAATTACTACATCAGTGGTTACAAATGAACTTGTTCCAGCAGGTCACAGGTACGGTTTTACCCACAAAGTCCAATTCTGAGGGGTGTAGTATTTTCATGAGTGTGTGTTTAATCCCTATCTCACACATGTGGTTTATTTGTGTAAACTCTCATGGCCAGTGGGGTTAGGATTTGATTATGAGCTACTCTCGTTTCACTCATAAAAGCTCATTAAGGCTCACGAGAATTGCTTCAGTCGTATCATCTCACAGGCAGCAAATTCAGTTCACTGAGGAATTTGTTGTAATACAATCAAAATTAAATTGCTTTTCAGTCCGGCAACGGCAGAGTGAACCCAAGCATGGCAGCAACTTCCAGACAAGGTCAGACAGATGAACGTTCAGTCTGCGAGCCTGTGGAACAGAAAAAAAGATGAGTGGACAGTTTGCTTTTGCCAGGGGGAGAATCAGCATCAGCGAGCTTTTGGTTTCATGCCCACCGTGTCCAAAGCAAATATGCTTTCGGAAACATCCAGGTTTAGGTGAGTGGAATGCATGAGAGTGTAAAGCCCAGCACTTCCTGGTTAGAAGTAGCAAACAAACTCACTTGGCCCGAGTTAGAAACTAAATTGAATGTTTATATTTTTCTTCTAATGTCAAATGATTAACCATATAGAGGATGCTGTCATTGGCACGGTTTATATTA